GGCTAAGGGGGCAATGCACAGGGTCACGGTGGAGGCAGATTCGGGATTGGGGTGCAAGTGCACAAAGGTAAATTAGGGGAATAGATGGATAGATGAACATTTATATATACATTCATGCATACATACATAAAATATATAATATATATATATATATATATATATATATATATATATATATATATATATATATATATAGAGAGAGAGAGAGGAGAGAGAGAGAGAGAGAGAGAGAGAGAGAGAGAGAGAGAGTGAATAAACATAAATAAATATACATACACACACTCACACACACACACACACACACACACACACACACACACACACACACACAACACACACACACACACACACACACACACACACACACACACACACACACACTACACACACACACCGTATATATATATATATATATATATATATATATATATATATATATATATACACAATATATACACACACACACACACACACCACACACACACCACACACACACACACACACACACACACACACATATATATATATACAGACAGATAGACAGACACAGATAGAAAGATGAATAAGTAAATAGACAGACAGGCAGACAGACAAGAAGATACTCACCGAAAGAGCCATAAAGCCACGTCCATAAAACAGCAAAACCACAAAGCCACACATTCAGAAAGAGAGCCAGTCACCCAAGCAAAGAGACATATAAATAGCCTTAGCAAAAAGACGTATGCAGATCCAGCAAGAGATACAGAGGACCGGAGCCACGAGAGGAGATTACGGCTTCGGGGTGGCCGGCCGCTGCAGCAGCTTCCACAGGGCCGAGTAATGGCCGAGGGAAGCGCTGATCTGCCTCGATAGCGCGAGACGTGTAGGCACCTCTTCACGGGGGATAAGAACGAACAGTATGGGTAGTTATCACACCCTATTAGTGTCGTGAGTAGAGACATCTTTTTTGCATGTTCCTCGGGGTCGTTATTCATCATCTGTCGGGGTGGATTCAGCACACGCACGCTTTATATAGAGTGGGAGTTTTGATGGATGCATATACTTACTGAGACGGTTAGAATGAGTACATAATTTTTTTTTTTATCCCCAAACGACAGTAATGTTGTGGAGTTCTTTCGTTGGCTCGGAATAACAAAGAGAGAGAGAGAGAGAGAGAGAGAGAGAGAGAGAGAGAGAGAGAGAGAGAGAGAGAGAGAGAGAGAGAGAGAGAGAGAGAGAGAGAAGAGAGGAGAGGGAGGACTGACACATACAACGTAAAGTAGGCTAACCTGTTCCGTTACCTCGCCCTACTGCAACATCAGCCGTTCCCCCCTATGCACGACCCTCTGCCCAAAAGTATGACCCTCTGACCCCTCTTCGACAAGATTTTTGACCCCTTTTTTGTAAAGTTGCCCAGCCAATTTGTTGAGACCTTCCGAGTGACGGCGCGTTTTCATGCACAATACTTTTCATAATGTTTGGTCAGATTCTGCATGTATCGCTGTTAGGGGCCCGTACTTAGCCGCCGGAACAGCTGACCCCTCACTACTTTTTTTTGTACTCGTAGTTGTGACTTCAGCAATTTCTAAGACTGTGATTATCCTAAATCACGATCCCTGACATCGTTTTATTACATTGACATCCGGATATTCTCCAGCCTTTCGGCCATCAGGCGGTAAAAGTAGGGGAAAAAAGGCAAGGAAGGAAGGAAAAGGGGTGGGGGAGGATCGAAACGCAATGAAAATTAGCGATCAATGGGGAGACATTACAGTCTATAACAACTCTTTTCGAACGTCCACTCCGATAATAGTTCTCGCGTAATGCCACAACAGTCACCTACCCCGCGCCGTGTCACCCGACCATGACCCTTAGTCTCCAAAAACCCAAGGACTATTTTCCCTCCTCCTCGGCGTGTGGTCCTTGTCCCCTTCTTCGGTGTAAATGCCAAACTTTGATAATGCATGGGCGCAACAGAAAAGACGAGAAAAGAGAGAGATTGTAGGATAAAATATGCAAGGATGTCATAACAAGCTTCGCATAACAGATGTTCCCAGTTTCCAAATCCAGTTTAGAAGGACTGGCGAGTGACTGGTGAAGGAGACTGGGAGGAGGAGGAGCAGAGAGAGAGAGAGAGAGAGAGAGAGAGAGAGAGAGAGAGAGAGAGAGAGAGAGAGAGAGAGAGAGAGAGAGAGAGAGAGAGAGAGAGAGAGAGGAGAGAGAGAGAGAGAGAGAGAGAGAGAGAGAGAGAGAGAGAGAGGAGAAAGAGAGAGAGAGAGAGAGTCGAAAAGAGAGAGGGAAATGAGAAAAGAAATAGAAAAAAAAAACAGCCCAAGAGAGAGAGGGAAGGACAATAAAAAGCTAAGACAAAAAAGAATCGAAAAGCAAAAGAAAGAATATAAGAGGGGAAAAATACCAATTAATTTGTATAGGGATCCGTGACCAACTTGTAGGAAAAGCGGTGAACTTTGAACTCTGAACTTTGGTAGCAAATCGGCGAAGTTGGAGAGACTGAGAAACTTTT